TGGGGGGGGGGGGCTCTTTGTTTGCCCTAGGCTTCTGCCAAACATAGTTTGAAAAACCCTGGCTTACAATACAAATTGAATGATGATGAAGAACCCTAGTTTCAAGAGAATTTTCTTACCTGTAGCACAGTTTGGCCCAGCATAGGGCCGGTAGCAATCACATTGATAGTTCAGCCATAAGTTGTTGCAACGCCCCTTATTTTGACAAGGGTGGTATTCACACCAATCTTTTTTAACACAGCCTGATTTGACATTTAAAAATGTGTCAGATGATAAGTTCTCTGGGACAATAATGTTGAAATCTACTTCTATGTCCTGAAGGCAGCCTACAAATGAAGGTGCAGAATGCATACTATAGATGTTTAGTAGAGAGTCATTGTTCCCTGCTGGCAAGCCACCCAAAAATATGTTTTGAAAAGCAGTCACTGCCTGCCTGGTATCTACTATGGCAGCAGTTTTACTAAGACATGATTCTGTGCACGAGCTCTTGAGTAACTTAAGTGTAACTGCTCTGGCTATGGCGACCTCTACTGAATGCCATTCACCATCATTGACATTATAGGCTATATGTAGAAAGGCCTTTAACTGATTGTTGACTTGCATGGATAAGTATAAACAGCCATTCTGTAACTCCAGCTTCACAAATGTGTCTTTGTCCCCTCGGTAAAATATCAAAGTTGTTGGCTGAACAGTCAAAAAACTAAGGTTTATGTTATAAAAATAGTCCTTGGAGGAGGCTGCAGTGCTGTTTACCTGAAGATATCCATTTCCCTGAAAAGACAATGTAGTCATGGTTTCACAGTGTACTCCTCTGTAGCCAGATGAACATATGCAGTTAAATCTGTGTTGTCCATTTCTTAAATAAGGAATACACAATCCCCCGTTCTGGCATTTATGTTGAACACAGCCAAAGAGGATTTCTGTACAATTTTGACCACCATAAAAGATCCCATCCTTCTCTCCAGTGAGACAGTGGCAGGTATAATTTCCAAGAGAATTTTCACAGGTCCCTCCATTCTGACAAGGGTTCATGCGGCATTCATTGATATCATCTTCACAGTGAATGCCTGCAAGAAATTGGAGTTGTATTGTTTATTTGACATATCCAACCTCTTGGCATATATATCCAAAGCAACATCCTCTAATATATATCAATAGTTTCATTATTAGTATTATAATTCTATAATAATTAGTATAATGAACATGATTTTTGAAGGCAAAATGTTAAAAGAAAAGAAGCCTACACATTCATCTGGAGCATAGTGATTTATCCTCAGCTGGAGCTTTAAGAAGAAAAGAAGAGTGATTCCGTAGCTCTGTTCCTTGTTGCTAACCCTTGGCTTTTTCTGAAGTCATTAATACCAGTGTCTAGGAAACTGCAGAAATATGGAACAATTGCCCTCTGATTCTGAGCTCTTCTTTGATAATGGAATAGTTACATTCTCAAACTAAGAAGGCAGAAAAAAGGTAATGGAGGCTTTATCTCAATTAGCATAATTATTGGCTCCTATACTCTTCAAGCTTTGTTTAGGCTTTTGATACTTTGCATATAATACTTAGACATAGTTCAATTCTCTATGACTTCAGGCCCAACCACAATATATATAAAAGGATAGCAGGGGCTAAAGACATTGGGGGAAAAGAAGCTGGTGGCCACTATAGAGTCATCCAGTCTATTTAAAGGGAAACAAAAAGTATGCTGGCCCATCCAGATTTCATTAAATGTGATGTTTCATACTGAGCAGGATGATTCAGGCAGAGCACCTTATTGAGAATCCATACCACTTAGTAATTGTTTAGTAATCTTGCACAGGAAGGATCCATCTGCAAGGGAAGAGTCAGAATGTAGTTATCCAGATAGATGCATCAGAGATGCTGCAGTTCTGTTTAGCATCAATATGGGAGATAGCATGGGGCTGGTTCTGCCACCAAACAGTTCTCACTTTAAGAAGGAGGCAAGGAGGCATCTTGGAAGTGCCAAGATGCAGTGAGAATAAAGGAAAGATGCCCCTCACATTTTCATTCTAGGAATGCTCTCTATGGGTGTCAGCTGCTGTTTTCAAAGACTTTGGCATCACTGTGTAATTAACTGCTCTTCAGTCTTCAGTAAATCTAGTCTTCTCAATCTATAGTATCCCACATTGGAGTTCATGAGTCTAACCCAGCATACCAAACAGAAATATTGGTGGCCAACTCTTGCTTTCTTGCCTTTCAATAAAGTAAAGGTTATATGTTAGCAAAGATAATAGCTAAAATCACTCTTGCTATCTGATACCTTTTTTTTTTTTTTTTTTTTTTTTTTTACTGCAAATGCTGAGATAGTGTTTTATCTTTTCTTGCAGAACAAACAAAATTCATCCTTGACACAAAGGATTCTGTCCATTCTTGCCTTTCAATAAAGTAAAGGTTATATGTTAGCCAAGATAATAGCTAAAATCACTCTTGCTATCTGATACCTTTTTTTTTTTTTTTTTACTGCAAATGCTGAGATAGTGTTTTATCTTTTCTTGCAGAACAAACAAAATTCATCCTTGACACAAAGGATTCTGTCCACCTACAGTTAGCCATGGACGTGCTATTTCATTTAAGCCAATACTTCACCACCCAGGCACCCACAGACTTCAAGGGCAAGCTGACAGTCACGTGCCACAGTCAAGGACCTGATTTTAGCGTGAAACCAGCCATACAGAGTGACATACAAATAAGCAGTTTCAGTTCACCTGGTCATGTCTATGCTGGGCTTTAATGTCCCCCCCGCCCCTCGGGTCAAACTCACATTTTGGAAATCTCTTATAGTTCATAAGAGTTAGTGGGGATCTCTGCCTACAGTTAGCAAGGCAAATTCATTTGGGGGCTGTTTTACCCATCTTCTTGCATCTTTCTAGAGGAAGCTGCACAAAAGAAGTGTCTCTGTGTTAGGAAGGAAACATTATTTTATCCATTTTATATTCATTTCTGCAGGTGCAAATGACTTGCTTGAGTTACAAGGCAGCAATGAATGGTACTGCATATTATTTAAAATGAATTTTAACATGGTTTGTTTAAAAATATGTCTAACAGAAAACAGTTCCAGGAACACATTCATTTGTCAATTCAGTACATTTCCTTTCCACCTTTTAAATTAAGTGACACGCTTCTCAATTACGAGAAGTAATCAAACGTGCCAATGCAGTGAAAGACATTTGCTAAGACAGGAGTTAATATGAAGTAACAGTAAGGTTTGTTGTTCCCTTTAAACAGCCTGCACATAAGAGAATGCTTTAAAAACCAAGAAAACAAAAATCCTCTACCCTCAATGAATAGAACAAGTGCTTTAATAATTCTAAGACAAATGGAGAAAATGTAAGAATTTTTGTCTTGGCTCTGAAAGTCTCATTTGGGTCTTCATCATTTATATTCTGGTGTAACAAAACTTAAAAGGAACTTTATAGAGACTGATCTCTCTAAATGCCATTAGATCAATCCTGGTACACTTTCTCTATAGAATAATGCTTTATTCCTTGACTTTTGCATGCAAGGGAATTTGTACTTCACTGGTAGACTACATAGTTAATATACAGAAGTTCAAGCTCAAACATTTCCAAGTATGGCTACTAAAATATTTGTCTGAAACATGGAGAGCCACTTGAATTCAATATAGATGGTCTGACTCGTCATGAGGCTGCATCTTTATAATATATCTGACCAGGGCTTAGAAGCTAAGCAGAATTAGGCCTGGTTAGAATTTGGATGAAAGACCACCAGGACATCATAGAAGGCATCCAAAAAGAAGGTAGTGGCAGACAGTGTCCATATTGTTTCCAAGAAAACGACAGGGACATGACAGTGTGGTCACCAAGAGAATGAGCAATATACTTTATTATATGCATGCATACACACACATATAGTCATTCTGAGAGACCAGTATATGAGTTTTTGTAAATTAAATGAATAAACATTTAAAACTCATCAGGGCTTATAATAGCTGTGAACTTCCTAGATTTACAGAATGTTGAGGCACTGCAATAAGAAAATAGTCAAGTTACTCATTTTTCTCTTTAGAAAAACAACTTTGCTTTTCATATTGAATGCCAAAATTGTCTCTGGCGGGTTTTTTTTTTTTTAATTTGCAGGGGGAGATGCAACTACCCAATTATAATTACATTAAAAACCTGGAGTTTTTCCTTGTGGTCATATAACTTTAATTTACATTCTGTTGTTGAAAATAGGGTACCTGGACATTTGGCAGTTTAAGCTACAGTTGATAATAACTCAGAAATAAAACATCAACATACAGTTGTGGGAAGAAAAGCGAAGAGAGGGCAGGACAGAGAATGGGACTTGTCTGTCCCATCTGTTGGAGTTTATGGAGTCAGAAAGGAGGACTCAAGATGTATGGATGTGGACCATGGAGGTAAAACACAGTATCATGGAGTTCACAAAATTAGTAACAGTGCTGATTTCTAGAGCAGAATAGTTAGCAGCAAAATGCCCAGGTTCAAGACTGGCATTCAAGACTGTTGGTGGTCCGAAGCCACATGTTTTTCTGGTATTCAGGGACCACAGTAGGCATTACAGAAGAGGTCTCTTCTCCCTAGTTCTCAGGATAGTGGCCTCCCACTTCTCATATATAGATGCACCAATGTTCTGTGCAGAAAAGAAAGGAATGGAGGAAAAAAGGGGACAGGGAAACACTGTTCACTGAGGTTGCCTCCTCTTCCATAGGGGATTTAAAGTTACACAGTTTGGAGAAAATAGTGGCAACGCTAGACATTTCTCTGCCTTTTTGTGCATTTGTTCTGCAATTCATGGTCCTAAAATTATTTGAATTTTTTTTTTCTCTTTCTCTTTGTAGAGAACAGAGGGAATGGCCTTGAAGGACAGGAGGCAGAGCCGCTAACAAGGCAAAGGACAGGTAACGGGCCTAAGCCTGGGGCCAAGAAAATAACTTGAGAAACCATCTCAGACAAGCACTTCCCTAGTTCACATGAAGATAAAGGGAGGGATGGGGAAAGAACATTCAGACTTGCCAGATTCTTTTGCTATAGTTGATTGCTATCAACTATATCCTGACGTTTTATTCTGAGTTGCTAGAATAAAAGTAGTCCTGACATTAGTTTCTAAGTCTGGTCTACCTCATAGGGCTGATACTCTTTTAAGGTATAATAGAAAAAAAAAATGAACCATTGAATGTCACTATAGGGTTAGGGTCTATAGTTTGTAAAATGGGAATCTGGGCATCATACAGCCCTACAATAGTCAAATGGATATATTTTACACATCTGTATTCTGGAATCATCTGCTGCTCACTTGGATGTTTACTATCTAGACACCCAGCTGGTCTGAAATCTGAAGAATGAATGACAAGTTAATTTTTATTTCTTTTTAATTGTCTATATTGTATTAATTTATTAAATAACATGTTTCTACATAAAATTAAGGAAGATAATGGCAAAACTAAGGAAGATATGTACTAGGAAGGGGACACAGAAAATATATAACTAACCCATAGAAAGCATATATTGTATTTTTCTATTTCACATGTTTCATTTTAAATCTGCAAGCTAATGTTTTCATTTAACTGGAAGAACCAATGTATACATCTACTTTAAGTTTTCATGGGTACTTCTGCAAACTCTTCTTGTATATGTCAGTTAACAATTCTTATTATTGCTTTATTGGAAGCAAAGGCCACTGTCATTATGTTAAAAGGATTAAGAAACATTTATGGAACCACTGAATGCAATACAGTCAAATTGAGAGGCTCATAGGCTATAAATTATTTGCATACTAGAAAATCATTAAAAATTATGTTTTAAGGCATTCATTGTTTTCAGACATTATAGGCATCTGCTAATCTAATAGTGTCCTGCATGTTCTTGTGCAGAAAAGCCACCAAAACTCCTTCATTTTTTATTGATATTTATATTGATCAAAACTTTCTTATTTAATGTATGTTAGATATTTCATTCTTTCTGCAGCATTCTGTAATTCTTCTATCCATACTAATGAATTTTTTTTTTCAAATGATTTGAATCATATCCTACTTTTATTCTATTTACAAATACTATTTTCTTTTGGTAATTAA